ACAGAGGGAACACAAGCAGGGGGAGTGGGAGAGGGAGAAGCAGGCTCTCTGCCAAGCAGGGAGCCTGATGCGGGGCTCGATCCCAGGACCCTGGGATCATGACCTGAGCCGAAGGCAGACGCCTAACGACTGAGCCACTCAGGCGCCCCCGTAGTGATTTTTTTAAAAAAGATTATATATATATATATATATATACATATATATATATATAAAGAGAGATTAGTATAATGAGCCCCCAGATACCTACCACTGAGCTTTAAATATCTCCATTTGAAGCAAATTTCAACCGTGATGTCATTTCTCCTATAAATCCTACTGTGTGTGTGTCTCTCTCTAATGAAGGCTTTCAAAAAACATGACCATGCTGTTAACGACAAAGTCTTATCATCCAATATGTAACCCATACATTTCTGCTTCTGCCTTAAAAATATCCAGGGTGATGAATGAATTTGAAAACTGAGTTAACAGGGGCGTCTGGGTGGCTCAGTCATTAAGCGTCTGCCTTCGGCTCAGGTCATGATCCCAGGGTCCTGGGATCGAGCCCTGCATTGGGCTCCTTGCTCCGCGGGAAGCCTGCTTCTCCCTCTCCCACTCCCCTTGCTTGTGTTCCCTCTCTCGCTGTCTCTCTGTCAAATAAATAAATAAAATCTTTAAAAAAAAAACAAAACTGAGTTAACAGAGGGGCACCTGCCTGGCTGGGTCCATAGAGTGTGTGACTCTTGATCTCGGGGTCGTGAATTTGAACCCCACATTGGGCATAGAGATTACTTTAAAAAAAAAAATTATAAAAAAACAAAACCAAAAAACCCTGAGTTCAGAGAATGTGGCTTCAGCTGGCAGAGTTCTTTGAAGATGCCCGAATGCAGCTCCCAGCCTTTCCTGGAGGAGACAGGGGCGGCTCCAGTGGGGTCCCCAGGTTCTGGTCCCCCAGGGGAGGCAAGCAGACGGGTCTCCTCGGGGCCAGTTGCATGTGCCTCTCTCTGCCCCCGCAGTGGTGACCATCATCAAGGGGAAGGTGGAGGAGGTAGAGCTTCCGGTGGAGAAGGTGGACATCATTATCAGCGAGTGGATGGGCTACTGCCTTTTCTACGAGTCAATGCTCAACACCGTGCTCTACGCCCGAGACAAGTGGCTGGTGAGGCCCCCTGCAGGGTGGGAGCAGCTCACAGGCTCACACAGCCTGGGCTCCTTCGGCCACGTGTTGAGCACCTATCAATCAGGGCCTGGGCAGAAAACCAAAAGCCATACTAGGTATTTCCCCCGCAGGGGACTTCATGCAGGGGACTGACTGCTCAGATGTGGGAGGGCCCAAAGCCAAAATGGGAGGTAACAGGCACCAGGAGCTAGACAGTGACAAGGAGACAGTGTCAGGAGGTGTCTGGTGCTGGGGTGCTGGGAAGAAGACCATAGCAGGGCGAAAGGATGGGGAGAGGCCAGAGGACCACGGTTCCAGATGCTCAGGGAGCAGGCTCCCCAGGGGGCGGTGACTAAGACCTGAACAAGGGGTAGGAGCTGCAGGAGATCTGGGGCAAAGATCATCTGGGCAGAGGAACTGGTGCAAAGGTCCTGGGGCAGGAGTGTTCTTACTGGGTGTTGAGGAACAGCAGGGAGTGGACTGAGGGTCTGGAAGAACAGTAGAAGGGAAGGGGGTGGAGGGGCCTGAGCATCCCCGTGAGACTTTAATTTTCCTCTCTGAGGAGCCAGGGAGAGTTCTGCAGATTCTTCAGAACCTGTGAAGGACAGGCCTGAGACTTAGGTGTTCCTGGATGCCACCTTGCAGCCGTGTGGGGAGTAGATGCGGGCATGAGAGCAGAAGCGAAGAACCAGTGAGGAGGCCATTGTAGGAGTCCAGGTGGCTCAGACCAGGGTGGGGATAGCGTGTGTGGATAGAGACCCAAGTTGTCAAGGTTTGGGGGCAGTGTTCCAAGCCCCCCCCAATCCTTCACACCCTCCCCACCCCTCGGCAGGCCCCCGATGGCCTCATCTTCCCGGACCGAGCCACGCTGTATGTGACAGCCATTGAAGACCGTCAGTACAAAGACTACAAGATTCACTGTGAGCTCGGGGGCCCCCCACCAGGAGCTCGGGGGGCGGGGCAGGCTTGGCCTGGGTGCCCCTGATGGGCTCACCCCTCCTCCCTGCCTGCCTCCCCAGGGTGGGAGAACGTATACGGCTTTGACATGTCTTGCATCAAAGACGTGGCCATCAAGGAGCCCCTGGTGGATGTGGTGGACCCCAAGCAGCTGGTCACCAACGCCTGTCTCATAAAGGTGAGGGGGGGTGTGGCCAGGTGTCCCCAGGGTTGGAACCAAGGAAGGGCCACGACATCAGGTGGCCCAGTGTTTGCCCGAGGCCTGGGAGTCTGACCTGTTGGCCGGAGAAGCCACTTAAATCCATTAAAAAGCTTCATGAGCCCAGCCCCATGGGCGGTTCCAGGTGCCACCGGGAGCAAGACCAGACTGGCGGGCACTGCTCTGGGGGGATGCATTCCAGGGGGGCACCCCTGAGCTGGCCAGCACTCCAGATGCAGGAAGCTCAAGGCCCTGAGCAAGTTGATATGCACTTGGGCCACTGATGAAGAATACCATGGCAGCGATCGGTTCTTGAGCCCCTCGGTGTCCGCACACGGAGCCGGACACTGGGGTGAGCCCTAGAATTGCGCTGGGCTGCGAGAGGCGGCCCAAACCTGGTGGAGGAGGAGGAGGAGGGAGTCTGGAGCGAGTGAGGACAGGAGCTGGGAGGGCGGGCACCAGGGAGCTGTCAGGGTTTTGAGCAGGAGTTTGACATGAGCTGATGAACAGTGTTTTAAAATCGTCACATTGGCTCATAGGTCGGGTAAGGAGCTGTGGCGGGGGAGGGGGGGGGGGGGGCAGAGGTAGGGAGCTCCGCGAAGAGGCCCCCGGGCAGGGTGAAGGCCGTGGAGAAGGGGCAAGGGGCAATTCTCTGAAGCAGAAGTAGTAGCTCTAGGAAGTAGAACCGTCCGGGGTGGGCTTTGGCCATGGGAGAGAAGGCAACAGGACTGCAGCGTGGCTCCCCCAGGCTTTCCCGCCTCCCGCTGGGCTGCGTGTTGGGGAGTGGGGCTCACGGGGCCTGTCCCGCAGGAGGTGGACATCTACACTGTCAAGGTGGAAGACCTGACCTTCACCTCCCCCTTCTGTCTGCAAGTGAAGCGGAATGACTACGTGCACGCCCTCGTGGCCTACTTCAACATCGAGTTCACCCGCTGCCACAAGAGGACGGGCTTCTCCACCAGTGAGCATGGGGGGGGGCAGGCAGGAACCAGCAGGGGGAGCCCGGGGGCCGGCCATGCCTCCGTTTCCCCACCCGTGAAACAGTAACCAACAGTTCCTCTCCAAGGCTTGATGAGGGTGAAGGGATTCAGGGATGGTGGAGGCTCAGCAAAGGTCATGGAGGGGCCAGACAAAGGGAAGGGCCAGGCTGAGGCCCAGGGTGGGGGCTGGACAGGAGGCCTGGCGGCTGGCCGCATCCCGGCTGACCCAACTGCACCCCCAGGCCCCGAGTCCCCCTACACACACTGGAAGCAGACCGTGTTCTACATGGAGGACTACCTGACCGTGAAGACAGGCGAGGAGATTTTTGGCACCATCGGCATGCGGCCCAATGCCAAGAATAATGTGAGGCGCGGCGGGGGCGGCGGGGGGGTTGGGCTCAGGAGGGGCATTGCTGCCTGTTCTGGGGCCCCACCAGCCCTCTGCTCGGTTGAGTCTGCGACCCCTGGGGAGACCCCAGCTGGATGGGAGGACAAAGGGTCTGGAGCCTGGAGTCGGGGCGGGTGGGCCTGGCCTAGAAGTGTGGATCTGTGGGCGCGGGGCTGGGTGATGCTCAGGGAGCACTGCGGAGTGGGTGTCCCAAGGCCACACCTCTCTCAGAGGACATTTGCCACTGTCTGGAGACCTCGTGGGCTCTCACACCTGGAGAAAGATGCTAGTAGCTTCTAGCACAGGACAGTGGAGAAGCCTCGACTGTGACCCCCAAATGTCAGTAGTACAGAGCTTGGAAAACCGGGGCATAAAGAGACCGAAAGAGAGGCCCAGAGGGGCAGGGAGGAAGCCGGGAGCCTGGGCCGAGGTGGGGGGCCTGAGGGCAGAAGTCTTCAAGGTTATTGGCGATTTTGGCCCAAGCCTTTCCGGGGAGCGCTGGGGGGTGGGGAGCGCGGAGCGAGGCCTGGCCTCCACGAAGCCTGGGAGCTGAGGACGTGGGGACAGTGGGGTCGGGACCATGAGTGTTGCCGTGTGGGAGGAAGTGTGCTGGGGGAGAGGTTTGCTTCCTAGAAGAGGGAAGGAGTAACTGCTTTACTGATAGGAATGGTCCTGATGTGGGAACAACCCTTAAGCGAGAGCCAGAGCTGCTGAGCTCTGCCCTGGAGGGGCGGGCTTGGCTGGGCTCCAGGTGCCTTTGAGGGTGTCACCCGCGGCTGGGAGTCAGGGCTGAGGGTGGGACCAGCAACGTGGGGTCCCCCAGCCTGGACGTGGGGTCTCCGGGGAGTGTGGGAGATGGCTGGGGGCGCACCCCCTGCGGCCGCTTCCTGACTCAGACGGTTCCAGATCTCTGCCTGTCCCATGTGCAGTCCCCCTCATCTGCCCTCTCCCCACAGCGCGACCTGGACTTCACCATTGACCTGGACTTCAAGGGCCAGCTGTGCGAGCTGTCCTGCTCCACCGACTACCGGATGCGCTGAGGCGGCCCGGCTTCTCCCACCCCGGCCGGGCCGGCCCTCCACGGGCCCAGGGGCTGCGGCGTTCTTAGGCAGTTTGGGGGCTCCCCCTTCCTCTCCTTCCCTCCCTCAGAAGGGGGTTCTAGGGGTCTGGGCTGGGGCGGGGCACATCGTGACTGTGTTTTTCATAACTTATGTTTTTATATGGTTGCATTTACGCCAATAAATCCTCAGCTGGGACGGCTCGGCTTCCTGGGGGGCAAAGTGGGGTTGGGGTTCGGTCTGCAGGGGCTGCAGTGACAGCCTGAGCAGCGGGGGGTGCTGGGATGGCACCTGCTCGTAGCTGTAGGTCTCTGTCCCCACCTCTAGTGGGCCTCTAGTCTCTGTTCCCCTGTCCCTCCCCCCCAATCTCCCTCACTCATGCCCCCTGAGGCCCTGTTCCCTCTTGTCCCCATTGGGCAGGGCTCCTGCCCCCGGTTGCCCTGCTGGGCTGGGGGAGGGTTGGGGTGTGGGTTCCCAGCATAGCTGGGTCCTTAAGTTTCCCAGAAAGTAATCTTCCCCCCTCCCCCCAGCGCACACATTGTTCCACTGTCTGGCTGTTTTTTCCTGTCCAGGACCCTCCAAGGCCAGGCCAGGGCTGACTGGCAGTGACTACTGCCCTGCCCTCTGCAGGTGGGGAAACTGAGTCATGGGGGGTATATTAAGGGGATAGAATTCCTTGTGTGTCTGCTTGCTCCCCCAGCCTAGCTTGGGACTTGGAGGTGGGGGACAAGGGGGGGGGATGTCCCACCTTAGGGCAGCAGGGCCTCCCCGCCTCCCGTCTTTACAGAGATGGACTCGGAGGCCCCACTGACTGCTCCCCAGGGGCTGTGTGTTCACCCTCTGCTGCAGGCGTGGCATCTACATCTGACCCTTCCTCATGGCCTTGTGCACAGAGTCCCTGGTCCCCCAGGGTGCTCTCCACAGGACCTGCATCACCTAAGCCACCGTGACGTTCCTTTCTGCGGCCCTGGTTCCACCTGCTTCAGTGCAGAGGGAACCCCAGGCCTGGTGGCACTTCACACCCGTCTGCACCTAGTCCTCCTCCAGGATGGTGTCCGACCGCGGTGCTAGGGCCCAGACTCCCTCTGTCTACAACCTGACGCGGCTCCGCTCGCTCCCCGCATTGCCCGACCCACGAAGGAGCCTGGCCCGGGAGACCTCATGGTCCCCAACGGGTTGAGGTTGAGGTTGAGGTCACAGGAGCCCAGCGCCTTCCTGCCCCCACCCCTTTCCTGGAAGCCCTAAGCTGTGTCACCACTAGCAGGTGTCAGCTGCCCCGCCCCTCTTCCCTCCGCCTTAAAGGGGTCCCTCTCCCGAGGCCTCCCAGGGTCATAGCTCCGCCGTGTGACCGCACCCGCGAGGCCTCAGAAGCCAAGGAGCAGGACGTGGGGATCCGGGTTCTAAGCCTCCCCTTCTGGCGTGGTGTGGCCTCGACTCTTGGCCGCAGTTTTCCCCGCCTGGGCAGTGGGGACTGGCGCCCAAGCGGGCCTCCAGGGGACTGTCGGACTCGGGAAGGGGGCGGAGCCGCACCCCGGAGGGGCCACTTCAAGGCACATGGGTTTCGAGGACCACTCCCGGCCCCACCCCACGATGACTTTCCACATCCTCCTGTTGCTTCTCGCTTCCTCCGTCCTGGGGGACCCGGACTCCGTGGGCAGGTGAGAAAGGCGGGTGGCGGCGGGGACAGGGCAGGAAGAAGACCGCGAGGAGCGTGCGCCCCCTTCAGGCCACTGCTTCCCGCGTCGGTGGAATGATGATCTGTAAGCGCGCCTCTGCGGTCGCGGAGTTCTGGGTGTCCCGACTCCACCGAGACCCCTTTCTCGAGAGGATTCTGTTTGAACCCGGCCTTCTCCCCTGCTCCCTCCCCAGGCAGCCCCGGCACCGCAGGCGCCTCTGTTCCCTGGGCACATGCCAGACCCACCGCCTCCCAGAGATGATATACTGGCTCCGCTCCGCCTCCATCAAGGAGCACTCAGGGAAGGCCGGCCGCGAGCCCCAGGACCCCCACAGCTACGGGCGCCGCCGCCGGCGCGAGGCCAGGGTCCTGCTCCGTCTCCAGGACCCTGGCCTGAAGAAAAGAGGCCAGCGCAGTGCCCAGCTTCCTGGGTGACGTCGGGCACGTCCCTGGCCCTCCCCTGGCCTCAGCTTACCCATCTGTGTATTGGGGCCACGACCCCAAGTTTCTTTTCCCCTAACTCCATCTCCTGGGCTCACTCAAAAACTGTCTCCCCCCGCTGTGATCTGGGCTGGACCCAGGGGCACACCGGACCCAGCATGTACAAAGAATACTAACGTCCCGAGCCTAATAAAACGAGTTTCCTGTTTCAGACTCTGCTTGTCGGTGCCCATTCCGCCCTCCCAATCTGAGCCCAGTCTCTAACATATTCTTCCCCTTTATCCATGCACCTTTTCCCACACGGAAGTCCCCCTGACTGTCTAACTTGAATCCAATCCGCTGTAGCTTCTCCTTCGCACCACTCAGTCCGTGCAGCTTGCATTTTCCGTGGGCGGTTTTGGTGGGCTGACCCAACCCCCAAGCAGCCCTCCCTCCTCGGGATGGTAGAACTTTGATTCGCTCTGGCTCGATACCCACGCGCGTGACTTTACGTGTACCCAAAGGTGGGCTGTGGGTTCCAAGCCGAGCCTCGTTTTGCAGAGAGGAAGGAGAGTGAGACAAAGCGGAGTGGGAAGCCCAAGAACCTGGGGTTCGGAGGAGAGGAGCAGCTTAGAACCCAGGAAGCCAATGGTGGAGAAATCGGGCGGAGTAGAAAAAGACTGAGGGCTCGGGATCGAACGGAGGGAGAGGATTGGACGCCGGGATTCGAGGGGGCGGGGATAGAACGCAGAGGGCTGGAAGGGGGCGGGGATAAAACCAGAGACTCGAATACCCGGCAAGGCACGCGCGAGGCAGAAATCCGGGTGCCTGGATGTTGGATAATCGGGGGCGACCAGGAGCTCCGGAGGCCCGACGACCAAGTCGCGGACTCGTCGCCCTGGGATTGGACATATGCAAGTGGGAGCCTTGGGTCTGGCGCTCTAAATCGAGGGTGGGGGGTGTGCTCGGGCTTGGTCTCCAGGATTGGATCGGCGGACCTCTGACTCAGCGTGGTAAGTATTGGAGGGGCTCGAGCTCCCGCGGGGCCTGGAGGCCTGTGTCTTGGGTTGGGCGTGCGGGTCTCTCCATCACTTGTCCTCGAAGCTCGCATCGGCTCACAGCCTAAGCATCCCTGGCTGTGAGGCATGCGCAGTAGGGTGCTCCCTCCCCCATCCCCTCCAGCCCCCGGTGCGGGGGAGGGGACGCTGGGCCACCCTAGAGCGGACGAATTTATAGACGTTACCCCCTGCTCCTCCCCCGCCACTCCTCACCCACCCCATCCCCCCACCCCATCCCCCTGTCGCCCTGGAAATGGGGCGGACGGTGCCAACGTCCGGCAGGTGTTCATTTCAAATGGGTCTCGGACTAATGTTTTTCCCTAGACCCCTCAACTCAACCCTGGACCTGTTTCCCGCCCCCAACCCTGAATGTTGAAAGTCCTTCATGGGGAGGGGCGCACTGCCTTGCACCTCGTTCTCAGCAGAACCGCAAAAGGAATTAACGCGAGTTGTCCCTCCTGCCTCTCTATGCATTCACAGAGGTCCCCAACTGACGTCCCTCCAGCACCGGAGGTGTCTGGCCAAGTCCTTCAAGACCCCTCAGGTGATTAGGGAAGGGTGAGCTGCCGTCCTATATTCCTGGGTCTGTAGGAGGAGGGGGTTGGGGGCCCGGACTCCCGGGTCTGAGGCTGGGGACCTGGAGAATGACCCTCTGTCCACCTCCCAGGGCTCTAGGGTGACATGGCTGAAGCGCACCAGGCCGTGGGCTTCCGACCCTCGATGACCTCGGACGGGGCCGAAGTGGAGCTCAGTGCCCCCGTGTTGCAGGAGATCTACCTCTCCGGACTGCGCTCCTGGAAAAGGCACCTCTCCCGTTTCTGGGTGAGGAGAGCCACGACTTGGTTTCCTTCCAGGAATCCAGTTAGGTGCTTCAGGGGTGCCCGAGGCCCACTCCGGCGTGTGGGTGATTCCTTCATGGGATCCTATCACCCCCTCCTGGGAATTTTGCTGTCGACTTTCAGAACCCCTTAAATGGCCATTTCTGGGTTCTCGGAGGCTCACTTGGGAACCCTCAACCTCACCTACTGGGAACCTCTATTCACCTCTTAACACCACTTCCTGGACCACTTCCCTTTTTCCTCACACCCCCCAAACCCAACTTCCACCCAGTTTCTAGAATTCAGACCCCATACCCCATGGTGCTCCCCTCCCCCTTTCGTCTCTAGGTTCTAAACTGGGTGCTCATTTCAGAACACTGTGACCCGATCAAGATCTTGGTCAGCCCGCACCCCAATCCTGAAGGGCCCTTCTTCCCCCAGCCCATGCCCCTGGGTCTGGGGGCCGCCTCCTTGCCCTCACTTCTGAATCCCCAATCCCCCTCTCCGGTATGCAGTGCACCTTCCCTGTGGTTCCGAGATGTGAACCTCCAAATGTCTATATCCACACTTCTCCATCACTATAGACCCTGCTGTCCCAGTCTGGGCTCGTTGCCCTTGCTCTAGAATGCCCAGGCCCAACATCTAACCAGAGCCCACGCCTGCCCCCAGGGTCACCAGTTCTAGAACTGTGGCCCTGCGTACATCCAGAGTCTCCCTGTCTGTGAGCACAAATCTGGAACACTTGTGGGGTTGGCCAAGCCTGACTTTGAATCCTGGCTCTGCCACTTACCAGCTGCATGGCCTTGGGCAAGTGCGCCTCTCTGAGCCTCAGTTTCCCCACATGTCAAACGGGGGTGATGATAACACCTCCCTCACAGGACAGTCGCGAGGATTAAGTGAATTCTTCTTACATGTAAGCACTGAGC